AATTATATTTTTTTATTTAGTGGCGGAAACGGGCTTCCATACCTTGGAACTCAGATGTCTGAGTTAACAAAGAGGCGTCGCATGGCATGGGTATCAGCCGTAAGACGCAAAGACATCACCTTCGACAACATTTCCCGACATATGTTTGTGTGTTCACGGCATTTTCTCTCAGGTAAGCTATAATCAAAACACATCTAACTGCTATGTGGTTGCCGCTAGCAATGCAAACATGGCGCAGAGCTACACAGCTAACTTTGCACAACTGCATAGACACACACACACACACACACACACACACTCTCTCTACCGGTGTTGTGTAATATTCAGTTCCTGTGAAAAACTGTTCCAGTGGGTGGAGTTTACGTGATTATTCATTAGTTCCCCTAGTGTGGGCGTGTCTTTGAGACAACGCGCAAACGAATGGAACTGAAAATATTAGTGCACGCTCCTCAAATCGCTACGTGTTTAATAGATTATTTCGAAAAGGTAATGAAGTAGGCCTATCAATGTTTAGCATTAAAGCATTAACTGCAACAACGTCAAAACAGCATAGTTATTATAAATCGTCTAAGCTGTTTTGCCTGATTGATTACAGCAAAACAAACAATAATCGAATAATTTATGCTAACCTGGGCTAATATAGTTTTTTTGGACGTGTTTAGCTTTTATATATTTTATTTGTGGGGGTTTAATTAATGTATTTATTTATTTATTTAAATAGATTAGCCTACCTAGTTGTCATTGGTGACTAGTACTGCAGTGTGTATGCAACAATGCCTGAAACAAACCTACAAATGTATCTGTGGCCTAATAAAATGAATATAAACTATAGACGGGAGTGAGTATCCTGTGTCATTCATAAACTCTTGTTTATTTTGTATATAGCCATTGTTTCTGTTACCTACAATAGGGCTGGACGATATGGCCAAAATTGATATCACGATATATTTCTTAATTTCGGTCGATACGATATATTCCGATATCGATATGAACACTGTTTATCTGAAATAGAAATCTTTTGTAACATTATAAATGCCTTTATCATCACTTTTGATCAATTTTAAGCATCCTTGCTAAACAAAATTATTAATTTCTATAATTTCTTTCCCAAAAAATGTATAGCAATTCTATTTAGTTTGTATATAGTTTAGTTTCAGTTTTAGTTTTAGTAATTCAAGTTTCAAAGAAAGACTTAGGCTAATTTAACCTTAGTGATGCAAACGTCTAGCAACACCAAATGAAAGCATGCTGAGATTGATTAAATGGTAAAAGTATACAAATACACACCAAAATTGAGCAGTCATGCCTTTTTAAATCTACACAAGTTGCGCTTACATTATATGTAAAACGCACTAGACTGAATGATAAATGTGTGTTGTGATATTTAATTTGAAAATAAATGTAGCTAATTTCTTTATATTATAGCCTATTCTTTCATCTTATTTAACTATAATCATGATACCGTAACTGTCGTGTCTTGCTCACTTTCCTGCGCATAAATAAGTGGGACTAATGAAATTCAATAGTAATAGCGGAGCCTCAACATTGGATTTGCAGCGTTGCGCATTCTAGCCATTCGCGCTGCAGCTGAAGTGAAAGACAGCTTGTTTATTCAACGAAGTCAAACGGCACAAATAAATAAATGTATGGGAAACTGGTAATGTATATCGAAATATCGGAAATGTGTTTAAAAATCATATCACCGTTATTGAAAAAAAATAATATCGCGATACATATTGATATTGAATTATTGTCCAGCCCTACCTACATAAGCTACATGCCTGAAATTTTTTTTCTTGTAGTTAAAATGTTAATATTGTAATCATTATAATTTGTAATTGCTTATATAATGCAGTGCAAAAACCTTAAAGCATTATTCTGATGGCACAGTCTTCTTGGACATCAAGAAGGAGGACACCTCTAGGCCAGCAGCTACTTCAAGAATATTATTTTTAAATTTGGATAAGAAATTATACATATGTCATCATCAATAGTGTCATAATATGGCTTTGATTTGCTTTTGTGACATATATTCATCGTCATGTAAAGCCATTGTCTTGTTTCAGACTGGATGTGGAGCTTAAGTCACTGTCTGGTACCTGATCATTGTGTGAACTGAACATACATGGCGGCTGTTTTCATTGAGTGTCAAGGCCCTGTTTTAATAATTATCTCAGACACCAGACACTCACTTCATTTTGCATTGCTTCATTCCACATACACATACTTTCACACAACTTCCCTTGTCTTTTCAATTTGAGTAATATTCATAAATCAATTACTTCTGTACTTGTCATAGTAACATTTAATGAATTTAACTAATATTTATATACTCTACTAATGTTTTGAGTAGCAAGAGAAAGGAAAACTTGAAATCGCATCATATGACCCCTTTAAATAAGCAGTCAAAATAAAACACTTACTAAAATAGATAACATGTTATTTGTTAACCTGCATGTCGTGTTAAAATTAACCCATGCATATCAGAGAACTGACCAAATGAAAGTGTGAAACTTACTGAAATATTAACTTTATATTAATCTCAGAAGATATTCATCTTAGGAGGAGACAGGAGAACAGAGTTTGGCTGACAAAAACATTTGGGTTCCATTGTTGTAAAATGTGATAAACACTTTTGAATAAGATTTTGAAATGTTAAACAGATTTTCAAATTTTAAACATGATTCCTATGTATGTCTGCACTATCATGTATGTTGCACTTTTTTTCTGCACTGGAAGCTCCTGTCGCCAAGTCAAATTTCTTGTGTGTGTGTGTGTAAACATACTTGGTAATAAAGCTCTTTCTGACTTCTGAACACAACACTATGGATTATAATATTTTGGATGTTTTCACACACCATTTTTAAACATATGACATGAAAGAGGTTGTTTTTCAGTGCAACATATGGACAAAAAACAGACACAATGTATGATTATATATGAAATTATTATAATATTTATTATTAGTAGTTCTTTCTCAGATGCTCTAAATTGTTAAGCAATGCTCTGTATTTGACTGTTCACTAAATACAATTAAGGAAAACATGACATGCTTTTGTAGGTCCATTTTAAAGGGACAGTTCTTTCAAAAATAAAAATGAACTCTCTCATGTTATTTCAAGGTTGTATGACTCTTTCTTCTGTAGAAGACTTTGAAAAATGTGCCAATGTTCACATTGGTTTCAAACAGGTGAGTAAATGATGACA